TCTTTTTACAAGTTATTACCCATGTTAGTTTTAAGGATTAAATAATAAATGCGCATATGTTGGGTTAGCCTCACCCTGGAAGGGCGATATAATGTCTTATTCATCATGTTGGAGTATTTTGAACCCAGGAATATCGACTTTTACAGAAGCATAATTCGAGCATAATAGTACTCTTGGAGCATAATCTCGAGCAGAATAGCCTTTTTAACCTGACGCTAAAACGGGCTGGCTTTCTCTATCATGGCCTTGCATCGAGCCGGTGCACTTTAAACAGAAGGATGGGTATAACTGCAGAATTCTCATTTGTCTCGTAAGTAGCTAACTCGCTATGCACCCACACGCGACATTCAGTTTTAAGTTTATTCTCATTAAATCACGAGGTGTTAAGGTACGAAATATTTACTCTCACAAGGTAACTAGCATTACCGTTCGACAGGCTAGTCCCTGGAAGAAGTGTATTCGATAAAATATACCTTAACAACCAATTATTTTTAAGTTCTTTCCATGGCTCAGTCTATTTTCAATCGTCTGGGGGAGGGTAAGAAAGTTACCACAATGTTGCGTCGTTGGTCGTCTTTAGGACTGGGAACACCGGAAGTGAAGATTGCGTCGGTCCCAGTTCCCGCTTTCGCAGGCAACAAACTTAGATTCAGCTTCCTGAGAGGCCAGAACCCGCTCAAATTGCAAGAGATCGGAGCCTGAAGAAAATCAACAGCAAATACAAGACCAGGGGGACATCTGACGTGAAAAAAGTGCCATTACATGCTCGCATCAATCAGTTTGCAGCTCATTATCTAAGCGTCAGACGCAACACGATATTTTGCAGTGCTTGCAGAGAAGCTGTTTCACAAAAAAAGCATTTTGGCATCCCTTTGTGCCTCCAAAAAACACGCCAGTGAGAAAGAAAAGATCAAGAAGTCGAAGTTGAGAGAACAAACCATTACCGAAGCACTCAGTCGAGAGAGGCCGAGTCATCAAAACATCAAGTGTGTAACTCAAGATAAAGAAAATATGATATTTTATTAACCATAAATGCATAATTTTGGTTTTTGGACTGGTTTTGTATGTTTTATTTTAAAGCATACATTAAGAACAAGAAGCATGACTTTCAAAAAACGTATATAACTTTGAGCATAATAAATAAATCAGTGAAATGTTCGAAACGTTGAGAGGGAGATGAGTGTCGGAGCCAGGCATGACAATGATGACCGATATTGTAAATTTCTGTGCTGACTTTAAATTTTCCAACTCACAACTCAACATAAGGCGTTCTCTCTCACACATTGATCGCTTTATTATCAAGGCTACAAACGTAGCTTCACGGTCGGTCGGTAAGATTCAGAAGCCTGTAGCAGCGTAAAAATCTGTTGTCGATGGTTTTGTGTAGGGCTGACCTCACAAGACCGATCGTTCTTTCAAACTATCCTACCCACCATGGCGCACAGCTGAGGTTGAACTGCCACTGGATCTGACCGGTGGAGTGGTAGGTCTGTAGTCGTTGGTCTTTCATTACAGTTTTCATCCACTTGGCAGTAACGACAAAGGTTCGACCATTATCCGAATAGATTCGATCAGGTCTCCCTCACACGCGCGATAAATTTCCTCAGGCTCATCAAGCACTTTGCTGTTTCTAGGTTCGGTGCGATCCGGAAGGACTCTTTGTGTGTGGCTGCAGGTACAAAGGACATATGCCTTCCCTCTTAGATATCGTATAGGTCCAGCATAGACTATTTCGATCAATTGATACGGACTAGTCCCTTGAGTCCGGGTAGTCGGCAAATTTCCAGGGGTAGAAGCTGCGTTCGCAATTGTTTGAAATCGTTTACATCCATGACAGGCCCTTCGCACTTTCCTCACCAGCTGCCTCAATTTTGGGAGCCAATACCAACTACGCGCCTTACCCATAACATAGTTAGTTAGTCCCCTCTACTAACTATGGCCATAATTAGCCTCACTCTTCCATGTAGTGTTTTCCGGTATCCTCCCTCCGCTAATCGAAAACTCGCAGACTCAGATTGCTTGTGGGTACCAGGTATATTGGTTACTGTAGTGTATTGAGAACACAGTTAAAGTACTTGTACTAGTGTTAGTGATATTACTGTAAGATTACTGAGTGATGTGAAAGTACTGTTACAAAGTAAGACTATTCTACCAGCTTATAAGATACTTGATCAACGAATAAAGATAGAATATAGTAGTAAGCAATTGAGGAGTGTGTGTCTCCACTAAATGAATACACAACAGTTACTCTCTTTGTACTCGGCCTCGGCACTCTACAAAACCATCTTTATTGGACTGTAAATTCAGCGCCACACGATCTCGCTCGGTGTCACTGCCCTTTTGAACCTGCCTATCAGTAAAGCAGGCTCTGGCGACTCGTCTCTTTGGTGTGAGAATCTCCTCATCCACGCACAAAAATGTACATGGCTTTGCGTAACTGGAATTTGTGCAGTATTTCTTCTACTTCGTTTCTCTCATCAACTGCAGCAGCTAGCACCTTTTGCGTGAGTTTTGTTTCGGCTTGGTTTTCTTCCGTAAGATGGTTCAGTACGTCAGCCTGCAAATGTGCGAGGATCGTGAGCCACTCGGAGCAATGCCACCTGCAGTTATCTGCCTGCCAACTATATTAAACTACTAGCCACCGACAATTATCTCTACGCCACCTACAATTACCTACTTGTCACCTGCAGTTATTTACCTGCCATCTATAGTTAGTAGATGGCAGGTATTGTCTCTTTTAAAATCTAAAAATTCAGTCGCCCAATGAAACTGTTCTTAGTCTGAACAAATATTTTATTGATCAAGTTTGTTGAGCTGGTTTGTAAAACAGTCCCAAAAACTGTCTCTCGTTTCCCCGCAAATTATCTTTGAATTGGACAGGTAGTTTTAATTGAGGAAAGCTGTCTCAAAAAAGTGCGATTTCTGAATAAATCGCACCGGTGAGAGCCAATCAGATGTGGAGATAGACAGTATGAGAGTGAAGTGTCTTCCATAAGCACACAATAGAAACACCCAGAAGGCCTAGAGTTCGACCTCCCGATAAGGTGTCCAACAGGCTAGCCAACAGCCTCTCCCGCCTGTCGACATAAGATGCAAAGCTGTTCAGTGTCTTAAGCGCAGCAACTTCTCATCCAGTCGACCTAAGTAAACCCTTTCCCAAAAACGTACCCTTTTTAGATGACTGATCTGCAATGAGATCTTCCAATTCTATCCAATAGATCTTTTGATCCTGCGTAAAACATAACAAGAAGAAGGGAAGATTGAAAGAAATAGCCGTGACATTCCTTGGGAGAATTTTTGGTCAAAAAATTGATGCAT